GTTATCGACAGATTAGACATTTTTTCAGTCACATTTTGGCCTCATACCCTCCTCTCCGATCTCATTCTTTGAACGTATTAGCCGTGACTCTCCTAGGGGTAGGGGGCTTATCTCACATCTTTATCATCAATTTTTGATCAGTTTCTCTCCCACACCCCCTTTATATAGACAAAGATGGGAGGAGGATAGTGGTATCACTTTCACAGACGAGGAATGGGATTCTATGGTGGATAACATATGTAAGAGTTCGAGATCCCTTTCTGTCTGTGAGACTGCCCTCAAGGTATTAACCAGATGGTATTATACCCCATCAAGACTACATGTACTGTACCCACAACGTCCCCTTTATGTTTCCGGGGCTGTGGTCTCACAGGTACATTGGTTCACATGTTTTGGGCTTGCCCATCTATATCCTTGGTTTGGCGTAGGATATTGGAGGTAGCTGCTTCTTTGGTAGGCGCCCCGGTACGTCTGACTATACAGTCCTGTTTATTGGGAGCTCATATCCCGGGGGCCACTGATGCTGTTCTGAGATTGATACATACCATTTGTATTGCCACTTTATGGGCTATTCCCCTACATTGGAAATCCACCACGGTACCCTCGACCTCTGTTTTATATAGAGTTGATGCTGTGATGCTCATGGAGCGTATTCATTATACTTTGCTGGACAAGATGCACTTGTTTGATAAAAAATGGGAATCATAGAAGGTTCATAGACATTCATTACATGATTAAAAAGCATTCCGTTTGAAGGTTATTTGGCATATGCTATTGACAGATGTGTCTTTCAACTCACTTTATCGTATACATTCTTCATGTACTTAAATTCTTTTCTCTTTCTCTTTCCTCCCTATCTATCTTTTTTACGCATATGTACTCTTCTGAAATGTACTTTTCAAATGTGCCTTGTTATCAATGTATGCATTACTTGTAACTGTACTGTTGTTATACAGTCTACCCTTGAAAAAAATAAAACCGTTTGTAAACAAAAAAAAAAATCCATGCCATACCCCTATTTAGCATAAGGTCTGATTTTGGGAAGAAATCTCAGGTTTTTAGCACCATATCATCTAATGACTGTGCTGTTACTAGCTAATGATGCAATTGGCTGCTAGGATGCAGACAGCTGGCCTGCACAGCATCCTTGGTTGACAAGACACAGGCAACTGCCAGCAACTTAGCAACCAGAGGGATGTAAATGCACGGCTCTGAGCAGGAAGCTTTCACATTTGGTTGTGGTAGTAGCACCACCACTAAATGTTTGACTGCTTTCTGCAGCAACTAGAGATTTGCTTCAGTGGGTAGATGAACAACCTATTTAGTTCATCCATTTAGTGTGGCATATGCTGTGTTACTGCAAACCTGACAGTGACATACTTTCTCTGAGTCTTTCAGTAGCTGATTGTACAGAATCTGTCACAAAAGTAAAAACCTGAATGAAAGGTTATAATAGAAACAGCCACATGTGAGTTCCAGGGCAGTGACTTTACTAAAGCAATGGAGAATGTAGAGTGGATATTCACTTAGCTTAGTGAATATTATTGATAAGTGAACTGGGCAAAGTTTGGTTCTCTGCATGTTCGCTGAACCCATTGGAAGTTCACAAATACCAAACCAAGCTCCAAATTTCATTGAAACCTACAGATCTAAAGCCTAAAAAATAAAATACTGTTCAGCGGGTTGGAGTTCATGTCAGTAGTAGTGCTGCAACCTATAAATGACGAAGTAATAAACAAACAGCAGCCAGTTATTCAGACGGTTAACAGGTGACAGGTATTCCCTGTACTGTAAACTGGCTGGGTTCATGTTAAACTCATGTTGATCCGAACCCAAAGCTTATCCCTAGCAAGTTTGCTGAGTTTGTGAAAAGTGAATTCAAGAAAAAGTGAATTGTGAAAACCAAATCATGTGGAATGAGATAAAGCAAAAGGACTTTTGATTGCAAATTATTGGACGATTAAAGACACCATAGCATCACCCTATTAGACTAAGTGGATAGTCGGTTTACAAAGTCAAACACATTTTACATATTAATAAAGTTTGATTAAAAAAGATATTTGTATTATTGTTAACACATATATACTATAGTATTGATTAGATAAAGCAAACATAATGCAATCCACAAAGCAACAGCTAACCAATTCATTATTATTCTTAATGACAATTAGAAAAGAAACAAGCTGTATTAGGCAATGTATTTCTGAGACATCATGTAATCCTCAGATATGGCTCAATTGAGCTCAGTGGCACACAGGTAGCGTTCAATTAGGTTGGTGCCCAAGAGAGGCATGTGTTTGTAACAATCTTTTCTGTTAAAGTCTCCATAGATCTAATTAGATATAATATTTTTCTTTAACAGCTCTTAGTTAGTGTTTGTTTCTCTGTGACACGTAGGGGCCAATTAGGATGCTAAAAACTTCATGCGCATTGGGAAAATTATTCAAACAGGTGAACTGAAGTAACCCTTGTACAGCAATGGAGAATCATAATGTAAATTTTAATGTAGTCTTTGTCAGAGATAGATAGATAGGCCTCTTTTTAACCCAAGGTCTATTTTTCAGTATGTTTGACATTATGTTTCACTGTAAAACCTGTAACCTTTACCCCTGGCCAGGTAAATCACAAGAGCCAATTATTTGAAGGAAAGGATGGCCCAGCTCCCCCTCTATATGAAATGGTGTGCTCACAGCAGCAATATTATTGGTGCATGTTGGAGATGAGACGGAGATCTGATAATTCTGCATAGGGTGTAATGCTGTTTTTCTATTAATCTATTTATTTTGTAATTTTGACATTGGTACTGGCAGTGTGCCTCTTCCTGTGCCTTTTTGTTTCACAACAACATGATTCACCCCCCATACAGTACTGATGCTTGCCCAAACGTTTCTGGTAAACTTCCTTCTGTAACAGCACTGGTCTATGTTCCTCTCCTCACAGGACTTAGCAGCTGGAACCATTGGCTTCTGCTGCTGTCAATCAAATTCTGTGAGCAGGAAGTGGGGGCGGGACTGAGCCACACTGTGTGTGCCTATAGACACACAAAGCCTGGATCAGGAGTGAGCCCATACTTCTGTCCCCATAGCAAGCAGTTTGCAATGGGGCAGACACAGAAGAGGATCAGCATTGGTGGGGAACACAAGAGATGGAGGACCATGACTGCTCTGGCAATACGATTGCACAAAGCAAGTAAGTATACTATAGTTATTATTAAAACATTAACCTTTACAGCCACTTTGATGTCAACCTTACTAGTTCAGCAGACCCTCACCCAAGGGGACTTCTAGTAAACTGTCTGTTGTTTTTTGCCTGCTTTCCCATATACAAGACTTCTATCTCCATAGATTGCTGTGCATCCAACTAATAAGTGTAGGAGGCCTTGTTAATCAGAATGACAGAACAAACAAAAATTTTAATTGGCTGTTAGATAATGATACTGACTAAATGGTAGGGAGTAAAATATGGTGTGAAAATGTCACACTTCCAAGAGAACATTGGGGACATTCATAAAAAGTGTCTCAGACAAGTTCTTTCTCAATTGTGTCATTGCCCATGGCAACCCATCAGCTTCTACTTTTTTTTTTTCTAAGCTTAGAAAATGAAAATATAAAAGTCAATTAACTGGACACCAGTTGAGACAAACTTTGTCTCAGACTCTTTTTACTAATCCCCTCCATTGTGTTCACTCCATAATGGTGACAGACACACTCTTGACGAAAGTTATCAAATGCCCAGTCTAGGCACATTGATCTTCATGACAGTTCCTGCATCAATGCCAATACCAGTCCCAGATGAACTAACAGTGCACAATCAGCTGGTTCTAACTGACCACCGTAGTAACAAATCATGACTTCTCTACTGATTGCTACTCAAAATGGTGAATTACTCTACTGACCTCCACTATCACAGTATACTTTTTCACTGCTTGCCAATGTGGTGGTGCACATATGCTGTATGATGTGTAAACGCCACTTACCCAAAACCTTTACACTATATACATTTTTCTATATAATACATTTCCAAGATTGCCAAACTCAGTACACTGTACGGCACATTTAGACAACTAGGATTTTTTTAGGAATACAGCATTTCACTGGTATTAAAGAGGTAAAAATTGGACCCCCAGGCAGTTCAAGTGCACCGCATACTAGCACATAACTGTATGACAAAACCCTCCAGCGGAGCACTATCAGCGTTGTAGGAGCTTCCATGTTCACCCGGTCTTCCTACCGGGTTCACAGTCTTCGGCCATATGAATGGCCGAGTTGCAATGATGTCGCTCACACACATGCACATGGGTGTCACAACCATGACGCAGAGTTCTGATTGGACAACACAGTCCATTCAGAGCCCAATGCACTGGTGCTGTGACCAGCTGTTGCTAAAGTAAATATCTCCTAAATGGTGCACCTCTAGGAGATATATGTTGAACCTATAGATAATCCTTATTAAAAAAGGTAGCTTTGTTCACTTTAATTTGTCTCTTTTGTTGCAGTACTTTGTATACATCTCAGAGAAGTGCCACTTCAAAGGCAGTTTAACCATTTGGTAACCACTGTATAGCTGAATGACGGTTATAGCGTGGTTACCCAGTTCTGGGAGGGCATCATACGACGTCTTCCCAGAACGTGCCCTCCCACACATGCCCCGAGGGGTGCGCACCCAGCGATCTCCGTGATTGCTGTGTCCTACAGACACAGCTGATCACGTGATGAGGTGAAGGGCCAAACATAGCGTCCTTTTAGCACGTGATCAGCTATGTCCAATGACACAGATCACGGAGTAAATATAGTTGCTGGTTATCGGCAGCTCTTTCCTCACGCTGTCACAGCATGAGGAAAAACAACCCCACACCATAGTCCCCCCTCCACCAAATTTTACACTTGTCACAATGCAATCAGGCAAGCATCCTTCTCCTGGCAACCGCCAAACCCAGGCACATCGGATAGCCAGGCAGAGAAGCGTGATTCATCACTCCAGAGAACACGTCTCCACTGCTCTAGAGTCCAGTGGCGGTGTGCTTTACACCACTGCATCCGGCGCTTTGCATTGCACTTGGTGATGTAAGGCTTGGATGTAGCTGCATGGCCATGGAAACCCATTCCATGAAGCTCTCTACGCACTGTTGTTGTGCTTATCGGAAGGTCACATGAAATTTGGAGATCTTTAGCTTTTGACTCTGCAGACAGTTGGCGACTTCTGCGCACTGTGCACTTCAGCATGCGCTGATCCCACTCTGTCATTTTATGTGGCCTACCACTTCATGGCTGAGTAACTTTTGATCTCAGTTGCTTCCAGTTTACCATAATACCACTAACAGTTGACCGTGGAATATTTAGCAGCAAGGAAATTTCACAGATGACCTTATTGCACAGGTGTCAGCCTATCACGGTACCACACTTGAATTTACTGAGCTTCTGAAAGTGACCCATTCTTTCACAAATGTTTGTTGAAGCAGTCTGCATGTGTAGCTGCTTGATTTTATACACCTGTGGCCATGGAGGTGATTGAACACCTGAATCAAATTATTTGGAGGGGTGTCCCAATACTTTTGGCAATTTAGTATGTACAGTAGATATATAAATACACACTACACACACACACACCCTTCAAACCCCATCAAATAGTGGGTGTGATCGATTTTCACTAACAGTGGGAGGGTCGTAAAGGGGCATTAAATACCAGGAGTGCATAACTTACAGAGTGCAGTGTTCGTTCATGGGAGGGGTGTTACATACAGAGAGCAGAGTTCAGGGGTGGGCTATTATATAGATCAAAGTCACGGGGGGGGGCTGTTACATAGCTTCCACAGCATCCCCTATTCACATCTCACTTTGCAACTCCCCCTTCACTGCCCCTATCCCCCCCCCCCAAAAGCTCCACCATCTTCCACATGTCTTATCTATTGTTGCTGTATTAAGCTGAAGCACCCAGCCGGCTCCAGTACCCCCCCCCCCCCCGCACTGTAGGTGACTCCCCCTCTCTAACTTGCAGGGAGGTCATCCAGTGGGGATGTCAACATTCACACTGCACCCCAGGCACCTGCTTCTTGTCCCCATCCTGCACTCAGTGAGAGCCGCTCAGGAGGTAAGATCTGTGGAAGCTATTGAGAGACAAGCTGTCACTTGTCAACACAGAAGCTGGACTTCTGTGTTTACAAGTGATAGTGGTGAGCAGGGGTACTTGCCTGACTGCATTGTGCCAAGTTTAAAGTTTGATGGAGGGGGGATTATGGTGTGAAGCTATTTTTCAGGAGTTGGGCTTGGCCCCTTAGTTCCAGTGAAGGGAACTCTTAAGGCGTCAGCTTACCAAGACATTTCGGACAATTTCATGCTCCCAACTTTGTGGGAACAGTTTGGGGATGGCCTCTTCCTGTTCCAACATGACTGCACACCAGTGCACAAAGCAAGGTCCATAAAGACGTGGATGAGCTAGCTTGAGGTAGAGGAACTTGACTGGCCTGCAAAGAGTCCTGACCTCAACCCGATAGAAGACCTTTGGGATGATTTAGAGCAGAGACTGTGAGACAGGCCTTCTCGTCCAACATCAGTGCCTGACCTCACAAATGTGCTTCTGGAAGAATGGTCAAACATTCCCATAGATGCACTCCAAAACGTTGTGGACAGCCTTCCCAGAAGAGTTGAAGCTGTTGTAGCTGCAAAGGGTGGGCCAATTCAATATTGAACCCTACAGACTAAGACTGGGATGCCATTAAAATTCATGTGCGTGTAAAGGCAGGCGTCCCAATACATTTGACAACATAGTGTATATATATTTAGTATATAGTACAGTTATAATATTTTATGTGGGGGAACCTGTTTAACCTGTACTTTAGTACAGTATTTGTTATTAAATTAGGAAAATGGCCAATAAGATGAAATGGATGTGCTCATGTGTACATATGACCGTATCCAAGTACAATTTCACAAAAGTGACCACTTTGCACTTCTATTTGATCTAATTTGTTATGTTCTTTTATAGGACAACTGCTAACTGGTCAGATACTGAGAGGGAGGAGGAGTACGTGGATGAAAGTAAGGCTGGGCCCTCCAATGTTCCCAGGAATGTCAGCACATCAATGTGCTGTACAACAATAACTTCACCTCCAGCCACTCCAGAAGAATCAGATCATGAGGAAAGCCAAGTTCTTACACACGGTCAGGTATCTGTCTGTCTGTCTATCTATATCTACTGTATCTGTCTCCATAATTTATGAAGTGCAAAGAGAGCTCAGCACAGGGATACATTCATTGATCCGAGAGAGCCATAGCAAACTTTCTACTGCATTCTCTGGCCAATATTGGATGATCTTGGCGGAGTGAGGGAGGAGCATGCAATGGACAGTATTTATGCACTCCTCAGTTCATTAATGGCAGCAAAGAGAAGTAGCATGACAATGCCACCTGCTCTAGCTCTGCAAGGTCCACTTGTCTGCCCTACTGTCTCAGCCATAACATTCCCCCCTACCCCTACCCTTCCTGTCTATCACAGCTTTACAGCTCTTCTGCACTACACTCTTTCCTACGTGAGCAAACCTTTCATCCCAGATCAGTGGATCCTTCTTTTCAACACAGATCACTGGATCCCTCCTATAACTGCAGCTTTTTCAGTTTTCAGTTCATGTTCATATTGGCCAACTGTTGTGGCCACTTTGGTACAGTCCCTGGTATCTATGGTGCCTTATGTTGTTCATTTGGTCAGTTGTTGTGACCACTTTAGTACAGTCACTGACATCTATTGTGTCTTATCGTGTTCATTTGGCCAGCTTCTGTGGCCACTTAAAAACATGGTATTTGTCACACTTTATTGGCATTAATAAACATTTCTATGTCAAATGCATTTTGTTGTCTATTTTTTTTTTTCTAGTTCCAGGAAATGTTTGAGCTGCTCTGCATACTATAATGGATACATTTTCACCAGTGTGGGGTAATGTTTCCATTCTCAGAGAATGGAAGCTTTACCTCACACTGGTGAACAGGATTCGTGTAGGGTACATTCCGCAATTCTCACGCATGTGGGGTAGAATTTCTATTCTCTGAAAACAGAAGCCTTACCTCATACTTGTGAAAAACACAACTGTGTTGATGATGAAAACAAAACCACAAACGGAGAGATCATTTTAAAAAATGTTAGTCCAATGAAACCAGATATTATTTAATCAAATAGACATTAGTGTAAATTCAAAGTCAACTTTGATCTGGAAAAATTAAACATGGTCATCTTGCCAATACAGCTGACTTTCTGCTGAAGCAAAGAAATCAGGAAACTGATATCTACTTTGCTTTACTCAATGAGTGAAGCGTAAGTCCATAAACTGTACATTGTGAGCAGGGTTTGGGGGTGCAGGTTCAATATAGCCTCTCTCCTTGTCATTTAGATAATTGTAGAGCACACAGCATGCCAGCACTACTTTTTTGGCTTTTTCCACCTACAATTGTATGGCAGAAAGGAGTATGTCCCACTTTTCAGTACAGACTCCAAATGAACATTCAAGTCCTTGATGGGTACAGCTTATTTGTTTGTGGCTAAGTCCATGTCCACTGTAGGGCCACATTAAGATCTCCACACGTCCAAAAGCCTCATTCGCCATGATGACAAATGGCAGACTTGGGTCTATTGTGCATTGTAGAGGCCTTCTTGGGAAATCCAGGAATGTCCTTCATATAGCCAATGACCCATCATAGACTCTCGGAATATTCTGAATTCTCCTTGTCTTAGACTCCCGCAACTGATATGAAATGTAGGTTGGCATCCACCAGTTCCATAAGAACAACAGAAAAATATTTCTTATAATATTTTGATCCTGACTTTGGTGGCATTTTTACCCAAACATATAATTTGTCTTTTATCAATCAATGTTTTTTTAAACCACACCTCCAAGCTCATTTTATTAATTGGACTTCAGGTGTGCAAACTACTGACTCCAATTAGCTTTCATTGAAGTAATTAGTGTATGGGTTCACTTACTTGTTTCCTCCAGCATTGAGAATGTTTAATGGGTGTGTTCAATAAAGATACAAGAAATTAAAATTGTTTGTGTGTTGTTAGCTTAAGCACACTGTGTTTGTGTATTGTTCTGACTTAGATGAGGGCCAGATCACATTTCATGGCAAATTACTGCAGAAAACCAATTTAATGAGGTTCACATACTTTTTCCAAGGGAATTCATCTATACAGTATATATTTTTGTATATTCAAAAGGGCCATCACTTCCTTGAGTGAATGTTATTGGAAAATATGTTTTTACATCCTTAAACATATTAAAGATCAAATACAAGCCCAAAATGACTGTCCTATGTCTGTAATAGAAATTGACCTTAAAATATTTGGCAGACTTCTGGTTTATAGACTGGCTTTGGTGGTCACTATGTTGACATTACCAAACCAAATAGGTTATATCCTATTCAGATAAATGACTGATAACAACAGACTAGTTACTAATATAATTCAGAATGCTAAGATACATAAAATGCAACTCTTTCTTATGAGTTTTGATATACACAAGACCTTTGACAGCTTCCAGAGATTAGGTATGGGAATCCTTATTACCTCTCCTCTTTGTACTCACCATAGATCCCTTGGAAACAAAGATATAGTAGCTTCAGATCAAAAACGTATGCAGGCACCACTACTCCCTTATTCCTTCATGTCCCTATACCCAATTTGAACATATCTGTCTTTATTCCCCCTGGGCAAATGATTCTATCCTCATTGTATGAATGCCTAAACCAACTGAACTTCCTGAAAACTACAACTCAGATGGCCCAGTGGGAGGCCAAGGGAAATTTTTCTCGTACAGAACTGGAATGAGTTGCTCGATATCCTCCACAAGTGAACTTTCTCTCTATCCATTTGGGTACAGTCATTCCCTACTGTGGAGCTGGTAGCTGGCAGAAACACAAGAACTTAATTTGTTCTTCCTTTTCTTGGCCACTTGTTTAGCTCTTTAAATTAGAGTACATCTGCCTGTCTGGTGTGGCTCATGGCACAAGACGTATTTCTGAAAATACTGCCTTGAAGGTCTTTTGTTTAAATTAGCACCTCTGACCCTGAAATTGTTATTCAGGACAATCTGTCTACTGCTAACTTTTATTATTTGCACCAATGTGTACCATGATGGCTGGATCCTCCCCGACCCCACCCAAAAATCTGACCATCCAATCTGAAATGTGTAAAACACAAGCACCCAGTAAACAACATACTGGTAAATAGCATACTGTACATCAGGAATAAGGCTTGGAAATATGTGTCACTTTTTGATATTGAAGGTGTATAATTTGCTGTCTATATTGCCAGTGAAATCTCCACAAAACATAAGGCATCTCTGCTAGAATTTTTATTGATCCTGTGAGGAAAACTAGTGAGGAAAAACTTTTGGTTGTGGTTTGCAGTATAGAGGATAACTATAATATGGGGACTGAATTTGATCACAGTATGTATAATGCATCTGCCACTTGGGTCAACA